TCTCTGAAAGGTATCAAGGTAGCCTGTTGCCCTGATACCGCAGTGAAAGCAGTATCATCTTTCTGCACTTGTCTCGCTTAGGTCTTGCTGTGGAGTGGCAAAAACACTGCTCTTTGTCTTTTTTGTTCTTTGTCTTCTCATTTGGGAGTAGAATCCCTTATTTGACAAGTTTCTATTTTTGACAGTTGTCTGGAGACTGTCCGCAGTCCGACAGCCTGCTGTCCCACGGGGTAGATACAATGCAGAAAGAAGCACACCAACATATAAAATACTTTTATCCAGTAAAGTCAAAACAGGATTTGAAGCAACTCCAAAACTGGGAATTAGAAATGTCTGGAGTTTTAGTTACTATATGGGCTGCTTGTTCCTTGCTAGCTCCCTATAACTGAAAACCTGCGTTGTTTGTTATCACTGGTATCATAGCAATGGTTAGAGGCCCATCTGAGGTAAGGGTCTAAATCTGTAGAGCTCTGTACAAGCACGTTGTAAGCGATCCAATGACCTACAGGTTACTTGGAGAAGATAAAGGAAATATATTGTTCTGGTGCTATAAAAGGTGAACCTGAGATTTACCTAAGGCTACATCAGAAAGTCATGTTGCAATGAGAAAGAGCACCAAATCTGAGCCCAGTCTAGCACTGGAAATTGCAAAACCATCCATCCTTCTGTTGTTATTTTAAAGCTTACAGCTAAAACAATGCCGTCTTAACTGACCTTATAAAAAGAGGACTGTACTTCGTTACAGGAGGCCAGGAGACAAGCACTGGGAGACTGATAAACTGGTTAGAATCCAGAAAGAAAATACCTATACCAAAACTACCAGACAAAAAAAAAATAATTAGAAGATGGTTGAATCCATTCACGCACATGCAGCTATATCCACGTGGCCTGGAAGACTGAGAGCTCCAGAAGCAATGATTTTTTCCAAGGTAGACCATGCAACCACTCCAGAAAAAAAAAAGCTCTCCACAAACAAGGCATCCACCATCGCGTTTCAGGACGAAGAGGAATAATCGTACAGGCTTTAAAAACCGCTCCCCATGTTTCAGGAGGTGTAACAAGCAGTTAAGAGGAGGCAAAGGGAAAACTCCAGGAGGAAATCACACCACAAAATGTTTCCAGAATTGGAAAACAGAAAACCTGCTGCACTGGCTGAAATATCCAACTGGTTTGTAGCTTCAAATATAAACATCACAGAGACTGCAAAATTGAAATAAAGAGAATAAGTGCATAGGTATAGGTAACAGCAAAGGACAGGTGTGCCAGCAGACTGCACAGCAGCACACAATTGACTCACTCACGGCCTGGGTTTGAGTTGCAATCAGGAAAACGAACAAGGGGATATTTTATCAGAGTTTTTCACAATATGCCATCTTTGTGTGATGCATGAGCCGCCGGTGAAGATCATATAACCTATAACTACGTATCACATTCAACAGCAAACAAGCTTTTAACTCAGTGGAAAGGGATTAAAAGCTCTGCAGATCCAAAGTACAGATCGAAGTTATATTCAGCTGCTGGGAAACATACAAATATGAGACTGCAAACCCCAGTAAGGGAGATAAGAAAAGGAAACCAGGAAGACAAAAGAAAACTATTCATCACAAAAGTGCTTTAAGATTGTACATAAAAATAAGATTTTCATAATATTTTTGTTAGGAGCTGGAAAAGATTCAGCATCAACAAAAATAACATTTTCTTTTATTATTGATACTCTGTTAGCATCTGATCCTCCTACTCCAGAATAAAAGAGTGGACTTTTATGTAGGTTATCCTGTAGCTATTTCTAGTAGATCCCACTAGAAACAAAAATGGGAGGAAATCAGTGAATACATCAGCATGACCATAGTAAATAGCTGCATGTATATAACTGGGGCTACACAAAAATCATGCGGGCTATTACCTAAGTAGGTCAGATTATGTCCTCTTGTGGAGATTACAGATCTGCTTTGCATGAAAGACTAAAGCAAGTATAAAGTCTTAACTCTATTCAAGTCAAGCACTGTCCCTGTAGCAACTTTACAGGGCACTGAGATGTACCACACTACCAAGTGGTCCACGGCCTAATACAAAGTCACAGCCATCCTTCAAGGAGCACAGTGTGACAGGAGTGGCATATATAGGACAAGACATTATCAATACGTGTCATAGAGTGAATGAAATGAACCTTTGCAAGTCAAAAACTGCACATGAAAGATGGCTGCAAATCCTCCAGAGACTGCTTAGCACTTAATGGAGAGCCAGAAACCAGGAATGCGGGGTTTAACCTTGCACTTGTGATACACAGCAACCTGTCTTGGGATGATCCAAGGTAGGAGATGTGGGGAAAGGACAAACAGTTGTTAAATCTAGTCAACCCCAATAGATCACATAAAGATACTGACAGCAAGCCGCCTGCTGCAATGGTTTCCATAGAAATATTAAGCTTTGGGGACTGGAAATGCTGTAAGGCTTGCTTTTCCTTTTTCTCTTTTCTAAAATAATGGTTTGTTTTTATTGATCTACTTTGAGTTGTCCTTTTGTCTGCTCCCTTCCTCACCATGTTGTCTTCTGCAGCAAGAGGACAGGACAACACTGCAGCTCTCCCCACCATACCAACGAGGGGCTCTCAGCATCACATGGCTTCGTTTTGTCGCCCCAGGAAGGCAGGGACAGGTCAGACAAGGCTGCCAAACCCTCAAATACAGGCAACCCTGGATCATCCTACTGCCCAAGAGACAGCTTGAAACATGAGCAAGATACCTACTCTTGTGTCTAGTCCTTCATTCATTTGCTCCTGATACTACTTCCTCTGCCTTCCACAAGCACCCAAATGCCACCAATTTCTCTGTTTGAGAACGAAACCCCAGCATTTGCATGAAACGGGGGGAAAGGCAGCAGCATGTAGTCATGAGTGTCATTGTATGGAGCTGGGGGATGGAGCTGAAGAGCTTTTCAGAGCACTCCTGATTTGATTGAACTAAATCTGCCAGCGAGCCTGGGCTGACACAACTACACAAGACAGCTAACATGTCACCCCTTCAACTGCAGTTTACAGCTGGGCAATGCCCTGATACCATAAGCCTGGCACTCATCGCTAGCGTTCCCTCCTCTCCAGACAGCGCAGACATCTCCCACCGTACCCACAGCAGACAAAAAGGGGATATCCACTCCGGCAAACCGGTAGGAGAAGCCCTTATCTCCTAGCCCAGACAATGTTTTAATTCACATCAGATGCAGGACTGCTTCAGTCTGAGTGTGAGATCGCTGAAATGGAGTGTCTGTAGTCACTTGCCAAGACAAGCGGCACAACAGCAACGCTGACAGCACGTAGCACATGGTGCGTTAGAGTCTCCCAGTCTCAAATCTCACCAATAAATTAACCTGTAATCTACTTTGCCAAGGAGAATCTTTCACAAAGACCCTTTGCAGGAGAATCCTTAACAAGGTGAGCATTGGGCACAGTTGACCAGGACAAGGAAGGCATGACCAGGGTGCTGAGGGTGCTAACCTGGCAGCCTCCAGCAGAGAGGCTCCCCCCAAGGCCACTGCTGCCCCCCAGAAACTGGGCAGGCAGGGATGGACCAGCTGCTCTCAGGAGGGGACTCTCAGAAAACCTGCATTTCGGCAGGTATGAACATTGTGCTCTTTCGCCAGAGCGGGATATCTCCTTGTGTCATTGCTCGGAGGTTGGCAAAGAAGTTGGCAAAGTACTGAGCTTTTGGAGAGGAGTAAACACCAAGGCAAGAAGCAACTGAAGGGAGGGAAGAGCATATATAAACCTGTATGCATAGGGACTGAGGTAACCTGGCACAAATGGTCTCGGCCCAGATGTGAGTCACCATGCAAGCGTTCAAAATAACCTGTACAGCAGCCTTCAATTGCCATGGTGATAAATGTTTCCTAATGCCTAAGAGCAGCTGAGTCCTGAACTCCACACACCTCATTCACTAACAAAAGCACTCATTACATTAAAAAAAAAAAAATATCACAAATGAATTGTGGCCATTTTAAGCCTATCTCAGATCAAGGGCTGATCTACACGCTCTCCTTTCAATGGGGAGTGCTATGCTCCCACCGCCATTAATTCAGAAGATGGAGCTCGCTCGCTTTTTTTGCTTCACATTTCAGTAGGCAAGGGAAAGACAGATTCTGTGAGACAGTGTTACTTTTTCTGCCAGGAGTTATCTATTCGCAGAAGTGGGTCAACTTTCTCTTGGTGGACATGTTAGTGTGCGAGTGCCTAGCAGCGCTGCCTGCGAATTTCTGTCCGCTCCGCGTGCGGAGGAACCTCTGCACATAACTATTTATGGCAGCCAAGTGTTTCATGAATTGCAGCAAGTTAACCACAAGGGGATGATGACATTTGGAGACAGGGCAGGATGAATTCTGGCTCGCAGACAAAAAGTCAGGTTAAAAATACAGAATGCAGAAGCAAACCTAGCCAGTTGCTGCTAATTCACAGGAAAACTGGATACGTGGCCCCCAACCTTGCCTGCTCCACGTGAGCAGTGTCGTGTGTTTTGCAGTGGGATATATATTACAGCTGTGATGAGCATAGAAGGAGCTTCAGCATTCCCAGAATCAATAGTTTTAAGGGTATTTTAAATAGCCCAATAATTCTCTTCATTCACCTCACAACACACCGACCATTTTTGCCACTACAAGCACCTCACTCACCCGCTGTCGTCCCTCTCAGAGCTCCTGCAAAGGGCAGCCCAAACACAGAAGGATGCTGTAGCAGCAGCCTGATGGGACAACATGGGCAGACCATGCTGTGGACATGTCTGTGAGAGCAAGGCCGATGCCCAGCTCCTGCCAGGGAGGCCCTTGCCTGGGCCCTCCTCCTCCTCACTGCAGCCTCCATTGCAGGCCTTGTCCCCACACAAGCGTTGACCCTTGAGCTCTGAAGCCTCCCCAGCACCACTGCTCATACCCCTCATCTACTCTCACATGCCATGTGCAACACCTGCCAAGGCTGCATTTTGGGTTCCCATGCCTGCCACTTAATTAGATCACCATTTAATTCGATCCTCAGCTTTATTTGATGAAATGCCTCCAGAGGACCAAATCATTTACATGTAACCAACACAATTTATTTCCCTTATTTTGATTGCTTTTGACAAGAGTAAGTGGATAATTCCATCAAAGGCCCATAGAAAATTGCCTTTTAATCAATACATTTTTTTTCCTTCAACGGGACAGCTGAGAACAAGATATCTCTTTAGAAAATTGAAAGAGGAATACAAAATTGAAAAGCACTACTATACAGAATATTTCCAGACATGGCCCAATTTGAGTGCCTTAAGTTTCTTGAGCCTTGTTTTCATGGGCACCAGCTACCCCGAAGTTTCCGAGCCTAACGGGTTGGCACACTTAATGCCCCAGCAGGAAGGCAGGAGTGGACAATGACTAAGATGCCTCCAGCTGATGCCCCTTGGTAGAGAGGCCAATGACTGCTGGCTACAGGAAACTCAAACTGTAGCCTTAGCATCTGAAACATCAGCATTTAAAAGCCTATTAGCAGAACTCAGTGAACACAGAAGAGAGGGAAACAAGTATTTCTACAGAGGTCTTACATTTAGCCTATCAGCCCAGGGAGGGTCTCCTTATTTAATCACAAGGAAGCTGTATGTAGTGGCCTGTGATACCAAAAATATTAACATCCTAAATACAGAAAATGAAAAGTTAATGCAATGTTTGAAGGACTAAGAGTGCTCTTCATGTCACTGAGGTAGGAACTGGTCAAGTAGATGAAACTTTGCTTCACAGTTTGGCAGGAGCCATCGAGGTCTGATGTGTCTCCATCGCAGAGAAGAGAGCTTCCTCCAACCCAGACCGTTGTGCCAATGTGGTATGGGGACTGCAAGGAGGTGACATCTGACTGGTACCTGGAAAAGTGATTTCCTGTCTTTCATTGGTGCTCACACAGCTGTGCTGGAAGAGTGCAAGATGGTCACCACAATATTTCAATAAGGTTGATTTCACCTCACTTCAGATGGCTGCATATGAACTACCACCCAGGTTTCCTTCCCATCAGTAAAAAGAGCACATACAGTGTACAATGCTTCACCCTCTAAAATAGACATAGGTGACATAAATCATGATACCAAAATCTCTTCTTTCACACGTCCAATAAAGGAAGCCCAAGGAAACAAAGATATTACAGCCTATATTGTAGACACCTCAATTTAAAATCAGCTGAACCTCATCCTTCGCTTCTGCATATTCTCATCTCAAAGGCCTCATTAATACGTCATAGTAAGTAATATGTATATTGATTATGAATACTCTAATAAAAACAAAGGACTTTGGCCTAAAGGGTATGTGAAAAAGAAGAGAAGTAAGTACAGAGTATCTACACATCCAATCAATACCAACCCACAGGGAATGGCTATTTCTCTTTGCCACCATTTTAAATGCAATATATCGTACCCTCTAGGTAAATATGTGGACATTTACAAGTGGGAATCAATAGAACTAGAGCTCTTCCCACCCCCTCACCCAGAGAGACCATTCTTCTTCCCTTGGAGCAGACAGCAGTGATGGGCCATAGATTAATGTCTCTGCTATGACAGGCTATCTGCTGTGCCCACCACCTGCCTCCATACCTCTCCGACCACTTTTCAAGTGTTGATATTTTTAAGAACGTTTCTTTTTAGAAACCTATTCATGCTGATAAAAAAAAATACCTAAACATTTCACCCAACTGGAATAAAGTCAAAGAGACACTGGAAACAGCTTGGCACATTTTGGGAACTCAGAGCAAACAGCTTCAGTGGCAGGTGAACGAGAAGTTCTGCTGACAAAAGCCATTTGATGGTGGAGGGAAATTAAAGCCCAAAACCTTTGTAAGCGTGCACTGGATTTTGTCCCAGACACATCAACAGCTAGCAAGTCTGTATCACTCCAGGCTCACAGCACAGGCGAGGAAATCCACAACATGCGCTCACCCTCGTCTGTCTCACAGCAACGTTACACCAGACTGGGAGAACTCATACGCTGCCTGCCTGCGGGACCACACCAGCCACCAGGACTGACTTGTGCGGAGCAACCACCAGCAGGCAGGACCAAGTCCTTCTACATTTGCAACAAGGGCACATTCACTCCTTCTTGTCAGCTCTCCGTCTCTCCCAGATGTACACATAAATCCTACCAAAGCCAACTGTCCTCTAATTGTTATTGGATAAACAGTTGTTCTAGTTAGATGGAGAGGAGGCTAAAATTAGTGGAAGCCGTTACTCTGCTTCAGGGAGCATAGAGTCCCTCCTCCCAAGGTTCCCACATTATAATCCAGGGTATGTCCCACAGGACCTGAAGGCTTATTCCTCCCCCCAGGTCATGTTAGTATCACACAACGTGGCTATCTTCTTTTCTTTTTTCCCCTCCAGTTTGGTGTTTTGTTTTTTTTGTTTTTTTTTGGAAATTTTATTCTGGCAGAAACCAGGCAGTAGCAACAGCAATAGCTCCAACTGGGCTGCCTTGCCCAGCTGGAAGTCCAGAAAGACTATGTACATCCACAGAGACACCCGCCATGCATGCAAAGTAAAGCCAAAAGCACTCACAAGCACAGCACAGCAACTGTACTTCAATACCTGCCCTGGATGTGTGGGTACATTCACTGGAATTACAGCACATCGCTCAACACGGATGCAACTGGCCAGATCCCATCACACAGCCTGCAGGTGCCCCTATCCCTGCCACGACGGTTCCCAGCTCACACACCACGAAGCAGAGAACGAAAAGACCATTTACCTTCAGACTAAACACATGTCCTCCTGGCTTTCAGCAGGATATCCGGAGCTGTGTAAGAGCATGTCATCCAGCATTAACTGCTGTACTATCAGTTGTGCTTATTACCTTATCATCCATGAGCAGATATTTAGTCATCAGGTTCCAAGTATCAGCTTCCAAAAAGCCGGTTTATAAAAGTAAATAGACTCAGAAAAGTCAAGAGAAGGTGGATCACAGATCGGTTTGGGTTTGTTTTTGTTTTTAACTTGCACCACTTCTACTGAATTCACCTTACAAACCTAGAGTTTAAAGTTCATCACCTCACATCGGGGCAGGTCACTGGGGCCAATAAATCAAGCCCTGGCTTACCAAGTCACTTCCAAAGGATTGTTGAAGAGAAAATAAATATTTAATCCACCTTCGCTTGCTAAGATTTCATTAAAAAGCTGTCAACCCAGGAGCATTTAACAGCTGCCATTCTCAACTCCTTCAGAAAAGCACTAACCTGGTGACACAGTCTGCTAAACACCTGGAAAAGCAGGGCACCGCATGAAGCCCAATTGACATCACTACCAGCGGCAGCACATTTCAGGACCTCCCAGCTTTTTATAATTTCCAAAAGTGCTCTAGCTAATGGCTCACCATCTCTTGCTCTCACCACTTGTCCAAGACTTCTGCTTACTACAGATGCCAAGTTCTGCCCTGCATCTGTTTCAGATCCACCTCCCTCCTCCGTAATAAAGTACTGGAGGGCTGTTCATCACTGCACCAGTTGTGCTGGCCAGGCTGCTTCATCCACCGGGTAGTTACCCAGTGTGTTAAAGAAAGGAGATTACAGCAAACCAGTCTGAATTCTGTAACCTAAAAACAAAAGGCCACTTTTTCTCCTCTTCTTTCCATTTTATCCCAAGAAAAAAAAAATCATCAGGAAAAGAGTATAAAAAGATTAACATCTAACCTTCACGCACCAAAAGCAGAGTCAGCACCAAGAGCAATGGAAGGGAGCTGGTGCTGCAGAGGCTGCTGTGACAGCTCCTGCACCGACCTGACTTACTGGATTTTTTCCTCCACATTCACTGTCCCTCCTCTTCCACATTGTCACCGGCTTAACTGAATTGCCACTTGGTCCCAGGCAAGCCTCCCCACCAGACTCCTTTCTGTCAGTCAAAAAGAGGCCCGAGAAGCTTTGCATTTACATATGTATTCACAGGCACTTCCAAAGGCATGCTGAGGGAAATGGCCTTGCTGAATACCGATGCTATCTAAGAATGACTATTTAAGTCATTTTACAGCTTCACTACCTAAGAAGAGAGATCAGGCTTGTTTGCATCTTTCCAGGGATTATTAGTCTAGAAAGTGCAGATCATATCTGTGCCATCCTCAGAAACCAAGCCACACAGGTTGGCAGTAAAGAGGCAGCTCCAGTACTTCTCACATCTTCCACAGCTTGAGTTGGGCAACCCTGAAACAGAAGTCACTAAAAGCTAAGGAAGTATTTGATAACTAAAAGGGATTTGGTCTCAGAGCTGCAAAGCCCTGCTGTCCCAAAACAATAACAGCACGCTCTATCTGCCAAGTGCTCTCCGGGCCTCTGAGAAGGGCAACGCTTTATGAAAATAAAATCACACCAGGAGCAGAAGCTGGCTGAAGGTTTACAAACAAGATACTTCTGATTTACACAACTCTAGAAGAGAGAGAGGGGAAAAAATAATAATAGGATGCTTGCCGTATCCTGCAACATCTGGTGGCTGGATCACCCTCTAAACCAGCAAGCCCTGTCTAATGGGTGAGGTGGCAGAAACACCTCCAGCTGCGAGTGGAAACACGCAGCTGCGGCAACAGGACCGAGCATGGCAAATTCGTGGATAAACATACCACTTGAAATCCAGGCTGATTAGTGCCGTGTGCCCTCAGATCTCCTGGAGCATCAGGACTTCCCATAAATCACCAAAAACAAGGACCAGCACTCCCTGGTCCCACCCACCAGGACCACCAAAAGCTCTGGGAACTGAAGGTGGTGATCTGGCAAACACATCCAGCAGCCCCCTCCCCAGTGTCCTGCCCCTCTGTGGCCTCTTGTGCCCAGCGAGCCCCAAGTGGCACCAGTAGCAGCCAGCCTCCAAGGCTCCATCCTGGTGTTTGGAGGAGGGCTGTGTGTATACCAACCCAAAAATACCTCTCTGGGAAATCCTCTTGGAAAAGAGGATTAAGTACATTTAAAGGAGTCTTGTACACAACAATTAAACAGATTGATGCCTGGTTTGACTCCTGTTAAACCCTCCTGACCAAACTACTCCTTCTAGGAGTCCCCAGAAATCCATTTTAAAGACATTCCAATATTATTATTTTAATGCCTGACCACTATTCATCAGCAGGAGAAACTTTGCTTGCATACAAACTGTCAGAGGAGGTTTGGCATGATTTCACAGTGGAGCTTGTTTCTAACTTTAATGACTGGGCTGAACAAAATTGTGAATGCAGCGTCCCTTTGAGAGCAATCTCTTCTCTACAAACAAACCTGTTCCTGAAGAGGAGCAAGGGAACAAGGGCAAGCCAAGTTCCAGCTCTCCAAAACCGGTGGGCACACCATAGCCAGGCAGCCTGCCCAAGAGCCCATGAAGCTAACAGGTGATGCTCCACGCAGCAGATCTCGACTTTAATCAGCTTCTTCCAAAATCTCGTTTAGGTTTTTATCATTCTCATCAAAACAGCTGATAAACAAGCCACACGTAACCCAGAATATTTAAAGGGGAAGAGTCAGAGGAGGAAGGGATGGGAAAATCAGCGTTTAACTCTGAAAACACAGACAGCTTTTTTTTGAGGGGGAGCAAAAGCAAACAAAACACCAATCCTCCAGATAAAAACCCTCCAAGCCTCAGCCCCAGACAGCAGTAACACAACCCAGGGGCACCACACTGAGTGCAAGCACCGCAGAGCCCTGTGACCACCGCCACCACCCCACATACACATGGGTGCTCCTCCCCACACCACCACCCCCAGCTGCTCTGCCAGAGCACCCTGGGGCCACCAAGGATGGGTAGGGCTGGGGATGGCAAGGACCACGACATCCCTCACACCCTTGCCAAGGGGGCTAGGCACGCTGAGAGGAGGTGGGCACAGGGCGGGACCAGCAGCACCTGCAGCCAGCAGGGCTACGAGGAGGGGAACAAGCTCACCGTTGAGACCATTGGGGATGCTCCGGTGGTGGAGAGGCGCAGACAGGTCGTCCATAGACCTCCGCATGGCCCCGGCCTTGCTGTCACCGGCCTTGTGGTGGTGGAGGTGGTGGTGATGGTGGTCAGGGCTGCCCGCGCTGCCCGTGCTGGAGGTGCTGCTCCCGTCCCCCACGTCCCTGGTGGCCGAGCCGCCGTTGAGGTTGGTCAGGCTGGCCTGGCTGTCGATGGAGCTCCGCGAGCCGGCCCCGCTCCGCTCCTCGTCCAGCATGAGCACCATCTCCTTCAGCTCCACATTCTCCCGCAGGAGGGTCTCCTGCCTCGCCTCCAGGTCCTTCAGCTTCTGCTGGTACATGCCCACCTCCTTCCACATCACACTGGCCGTGTGCCTCCCGAAGCGCTGCCATTCCCTCGACAGCTTCTTGCCTTTCTGCCGGTCGTCGTCCAGGAAGCAGCAGAGCTCCCGCAGCTCCTGGTTGTCGTCCTGCAACTTCTGGTTGACCTCCTTCAGCCCGCGGATCTCGTGCAGGTGGAGCTGCAGCCGCCGGTTCACGTCCTTCATCAAGTTGCCGTGTTCCACCATTAAGTTCATCTTTTCATTCTCCACTTTCCTCAGTCTTTTCACCAGCTCCTCCTTGCTCCACCTCAGCATCTCCTCCTCCGAAATTTTGCTCAGGTCCTCTTTGGACCCTTCCAGGGGATTTTTTGCCATCATCTGTGCTCAGGCAGCGTCCGTTCCGACACGTAACAAACGGGGTTCGGGTAATTCGGATTATTTTTGTTCACCTGATTTCCTGGGACTACGATTCACTGCAGCATCCTGGGGAAGAAATATTATAGTTCCCCGCGGAGAGCCGGACAAGGAAGCACAGCAAAGCCAGACTGGAAGATCTTCTCCCCCGCAGATCCCATAATAAAAAAACAACCCAGATTGGAGGGGGAAAAAAAAAAAATGATGAAAAAAAAAAAAAAAAAGACGCCCCCCCCCCAAGGGGGCTGCGGGGAACGGGCACCCCCGGGCTTAGCCTCCGCAGGGGATCGCCCAACTCACCCCGGGTGCACCGAGCCCGGCGGCCGGCCCCGTCCCCGGGGGGCTCCGTCCACTTGTTCGCCCCCTGCAGCCCCGCGGGGCTGAGCCCGGCGCGGTGGCGGCGGCTGCTGCCGGTGCGGCGGTGCCGAGGGAGCGCAGAGGGAGCCGGCGCCTTCCCGGAACGGCTCGGCCCTGGGCACGGAGGGGACGGGCGGCAGCGCCGGGGCTGGTCCCACCTCCTGCCGGCCGCGGCCCTGCCCCAGCCGAGCGGAGGAGGAGGAGGAGGAGGAGGAGGAGGAGGAGGAGGAGGAGGAGGCGAGCACCGCCCTCCCCCCGTGCCCCATTGGCTGCAGGGCCGGGCCGGGCCGTGCCGAGCCGGGCCCCGAGCGCCGCGCCCCGCCGCCGGCTCGGGTTACCGGGGCCGCGGGCAGGTACAAAGGGACGGCGCCGCCTCCCCTCCCCGTTCGCCTATTTTATTTTTTTTTCACCCCCTTTTTATTTTTTTTTATTTTTTATTTTTTTTTTCCCGGGAAGTAGCAGGCCCGGGAAGGGTGGGGTTGGCCATGCAGGAAAACGAGCCCGCCCGGTCCCGGTCCCGGTCCCGGTCCCCTCTCCCGGCCCCCTCTCCCGGCCCGGCTTCGTGCCCGGGTCCCCACGCTGCAGGTTGAGCCTCGGCCTCCTCTCCGCACCCCGGGGCCGTCGTGAGCCCTCAGCCCCCGGGGGCAGCACCGGTTCCCCACTGAGATCTGCCCCGGTTCTGGTGGCCCGGGTGCAGGTGTGCTCGTGTCGCTTGGGACAGAACCAGGGAAAGGGTGCAGAAAGTTCACCGAGCGGATTCCCTAGGCGACGCATAGGCAGATTTCCTATATCCTCGCATCACATCCCCTTGACTTTTACTCTAATGCACTTTTCCTTGGAATACGCTGTGAGCTGCTTTTGGCCGGCATCGTGTTGTAGAAATGAAAGATGCACCAGGACAGGGCAGCGCTGCCAGCTGTTTCCCACATGAGAATCCTCAGAAAGCCCCAGGGAATCGGCAGCTTTGTGTTCCCAAGGAGCCTTGGTAAACGATTTGACTCCAGGGTTAATTCAGTGCAACCTCAAATTTGTGACCGCACCGAGAGCTGGTCCAAGCCACCCTCTAGCAATAAAGAAGCATCAAATCCAGTGCCGGAGCGTGGGACACAGAGCAGATGGCCTGTGTGTGGAGGGAGCATCACCGCGACTTCTGCCTTTTGGTGTTGCCTTCCTAAGCCGAAGTAAAGCTGCATTTCTCAGATGCTGTTTCTTCTGCATGAGTCTGTGCTGGTTGGTTTGTGAGCCCAGACATACCCTTGGCAAACTAGGACAGGTGCCAGTTCCCCGCTGAAGTACAACAGCACTTCCCTTCTTCTGGTGGAGTTCATCCCCTCCATGGACACTCCTTGCCCTTCTCCTCTCCCAGTGCAGCTTTATTAACAAAAAGGGAGCAGTAGCTTGGGACCAGTCACTTTGTGTGAGATGCCTGTGGTCAACCACTGGTAACACGCCTTACAGACGTGGAGATGTGAAGACAATCGTCCCCTAGTGCACACAAACCAAGGTAATTCCCTGAGGAGGAAGCAACCAAAATACCCTTGTGCGGGTGAGCGCTGAGGCCTGCCTGCTGCCTTTGGAGGAGTTTGCTCCCCACAGATTTGGGAGCTGGGTGAGGTGGCTGAAGAGCTGTCTTGCCTGCCTGGGAAATGAAGGAGAAAAGTGTGATTTCATGCTGTGAATTCACCGCTGTGGCAGGGTCAGCCCTTGGGATGCGGAAATCAGCAGGTGTCTGCGCACCACCTTGTGCCTTGGAGAGGTCACTTTTCCCCGGGTCCCTCAGGCCTGGAGCAGGTCTGCTCCTGCCTCCCTGTGACAGGTCCCAGATGTGGGGGTACCCACACAGGGGGGCCACCACCAACCAGCTGCAGAACCAGGCCGTGTCGTGACTCCTGCCTCCCACCGCCCCAGCCAGGCCGCTGGGAGGTGACACCCCTCGTAACGGGGCACGCTGCCGTGCCTCAGGACTGCACCGCGTCGAGAAGGCACCCAAGTGTTTTCCAAGCCAAGACTTATTTACGCAGCTTTAATCACATCCTTCCCTGCAGGAAGCGGAAAGTGCTTCTCCCGGACCCTCCCAGGCGGTGATCTGCCTCATGGATCCCGCAGGGGCTGGGGGGAAGGAGCAGGACGGGGGCTGCTCGGGGAAGCTTTTCCTCACAGCGGCCATCAAGGGCTGGAGAAGCCTCCGGTGGCGGTGCTCACCGTGAGTACAGGTGCAGCTGCACCATGGAGGTACCTGGCCCCTCACGTTTCTTGATATTTTTCCCGATAAAAGCTGTTTTTTCCACATGACACTTTTTGAGGTTTGAGCTCTGCCGATACCTCTGCGGAGAATGAGCCCAGCAGACAGGGGGGCTCCTCAGAGGAAGCGGGGAGATTATTAATATCCACAGAGGAAGTCACTGTGATGATTAAGACTTGCTTTCAGTGCTCGGTGGGTATGTCTGTGCTTTCGGAAAAAAAGGGCGTTGCGTTGCAGTAGAGGCAAATCCCTTCAGCTTGGAAAGGCAGGAGTGTTGGAGCCCAGGGGCAGAGCTCGGCAGCATCAGAGGGTGTCTGTGGCCCAGGTTATCCACGTGAATAGTGGAGGTGAGCATTGAGACGAGGGAGGTTTTTCAAGGGTTGTGATATCTCGGAGGGAAAGGACTAAGTCAGTGCGGTTTTATGATCAATAGCAAATGCTGAGTTGCAGGCAGATTTTTAATCAACACGAATAATACGTAACACTGGAGTATTTTTGATGGGCTTGTGCTTTTTATTTTTAGTTAACAAACCCAGTTTCCCAGCGTTGTTCAGAGTGAATTACCATTTCCCCATGCCAATTTAAGATGAAGTGCGGAAGTTGGTAAACAACACGCTACGGATTCCCTTCGGTACATTTGGCCGTGGGGCCTTCCGCAAGCTGCAAGTGAAAAGCAGGTTTAATATGCGTGTCACCTGAAGCTTTTCGTGCCCATGTAATACATCATCAAAGCCCATCCCTTGCATCGAGTCAAGTGGACACTTCCACCCTCTTCAGTCAGGGGCGAAATTTTAAAGCAAATTATACCATGATAAGAATTTCAGGGGAAAAAAAAATCTACCGGGTAAAATTACTCTTGATGGTAACTCCTGAACTCAGCAGGTGACACAAAGAAGGAATTTGTGCCCTGATGCTACACAGCTATACGTAGCCGCATTTAAGCCTTACCAAAGCATTCCCTCTACAGGGCTACACAAGAATTACAGAAAGGACTTCAAGCTCAGGTCTGTGCTGCTGCTTCACCCCCGGAGAGGGGTGGCTCTGCCAAAGCCCATTCCCCTGGTGTGGGAACCCCACATCTGACGGAGGAATGAATCCCAGGGACTCTCATGTGGCTTTGCTTTCCCAAGGCAGCGTAGGACGTCCACGCCGCCATGTGAGCTTCAAGGACTTGCTCCAGTTTACACAGGCTGAGGATCTGTCTCAAAAAACGTGTACTCCGTGAATCATTTACATGGGTTATAAATCCTCCGCTGCACTGGTATTTTCTCATAAATCAGTGCCAAGGACTAATCCTTGATTAATGTTTTGAAATATACCATCCAGATTGCGACAGTGGAAGTTCTGTTTTGTGCAACAAAGCTGTACAATAACAAAAACTTGCAACGCTTCTAATCTCTTCCATTAAGACAGATACCATGTTCCTAGCCTGATTAAGCAGTATTTTGAGCCAGGACATTCGTACAAGTAGCAGCTACATGACAGACAGTCATGCGTCATTCTCCCTTCTTTTCCCAGTGATTCACTGTATAACCCGGGCAGATCGGCTGAACCTTGCCATGAGAAGTCTGCATCCCTCTATGTGCCCATCTGGCTGAGCTGCGAGGAGAGAGCAGCCTCCAACAAGGTTCTGCATCACTCCCTGATTCTGGCTTCTGGCAATATAACTGGGCCGTCCAGTTCATTCACTCTGCTTATGAAAGCAGTGTGTATTGCTGAGGGTTTCACCTCCTGGCCACAGAACATTTCTGTTCTGTGCCCTGAAACGACTGTTATAAAATTAAAAAATGAACCAACTTGTTTCAAAGCCTTCAGGATATTTGGAAAAAAATTACGATTGTGACCAGCAACTCTTTGCCATGCCAGAAAAACAGGTCCTCTAACAGGCATAAACAGTAGCCTCTACACAGTATGTTTAAATCAAGTGAAAAAAGCCCATAAAAATCTCCTAAGCCACGGTGTTCACTAAAACTTCATTTTCAGTGAAGTTTCTAACTATTTCCTGCAATACAATAATTTTTTTTCACCTCACCCCTAATCTTTACGTTGATAAGGGATCAGAATCTAAATCCTAAGAAGCAGTAGGCATCTATGGTGCTCCTAGCTAAGCGTTGCAGGTGATTGACGTTTCCCAAATGCAGACATAATAGCTATAGCAAAACTTTCACTGCTAGTTAAGAATGTGATGAGGATCCAGTTTCACTGAGAAGTCAGAAGGCTACATACGATATCAGAGCTATTCTTTCAAATGTTAAGAAAAAAAAAAAAAAAAAAAACAAACAACTCATCTGACAACATTTGAACCACCAGGATAGCCATGTGCCTGTGAGCTGAGGCAACGTGCTGACCAGCTGAGTCTCCTTCTCTGCTGTCACCTATCCAAAAAATCAGGAGCGCCACTGAGACCTTCAAACTGAGCGTGTATCAGGAACGAAAATTTGGCGAAGCTCTCCTTATCATCCTGAGTATGTAAGAAATCAGAAAATAGCAAGAATACAGATGCAGGTAGACTGGATCAGGCACTGGCCCTTGTATTGTTGCCGCCAGTGGCCAATACCAGATGCTTCTGAGAATACTGTGAAAAACCTGCCCATAGGGTGAGTTTCCTCCTCTTTGCCATCTGGTACTGCTTGGCTTCTTCCCAGAAGCATTAAGATTTACATCCCTTCCAAAAATATTTGCAGTCCTATCTAACATGGGAAGAAGGCCAGAGATAGCTTGATACACCTTTTCCTTTTGTAAATACTCCTTTGTAAACAGGTGAGCCAACAAATATGTGGGAGAAATGAAAGCTAAGGTTTTACCTCACTCCTCCATTACCAAGCCATCAGGGCACATCCTGGAGGCCAAAGTCTGCCCTGAGTTACATGCAGAGCTGACCAAAGGGGGATCTGGGGCAGAACTTGGTCCCCACAGCCTGGAGGTGCTTGCAGGAGGCTGTTTTGCGAGACAGAAGCACGACACTCGCAGTTTTCAGTGATGTCTTTCATGCACACTGACTGCACAGAACCCAGGAAGCTCTCGGGATTTAGACCTACATCATTTCAGTCACTGGTGATTTAAACACTGGCTTTGCTGAGAGTACATTCAAATTACAAGCTTTTTTTTTTTTTCTCTCCACCTTTGTTTGTATTTTTCCTACAACTCTAACAACCCTTTGCAGGTGTTTTGGATGAGGCAGAGTGTTGTTCCATGGATGGCAATGAATTCAGACTGGTTTCAACTCAATGATCTTTGTCTTCAGTGGTTTAAAATAAAAAAGAAACAGGAGAAAAATTTACACAAGAATGGAAAAATATCAGCACTGTTCCTAGAGAACACTGGAGACTGATCATCCTCAGAGCTTGGTGGGTTTCCCCCGTGATCTGGGGGACACAGCAACCTCCTGGGCTCTTCTGGAGTACCCCACTGCCACCCTGCTCCACCACCATCCAGCTTTTCCCTGGCACAGCTCTGCGCTGAGCCTGGCACTGGCAGCTACAAAGCAGACACCTCGCTATTCAAGCAAATGAGGCCGTCGGTATTAGCAGCATGAGGTCGATGAAACCTAAGCAGTTCTGCAGGAGAGAAAACAGACTATGCTACGCTATCCACTGTGTTCTTTACACCCTTATTTCTCATTTCCATTGTGAATCAAATGAACAAATGACCCCTTAGCTGTGCTGACGGACCAGGGAAATACAAATACCCAATTTTGTGCGATAAGCGAGGCCTGCTGGTACTGCACCCTTCACTCGGTGGTAAAGTGTATTTTCTGCTTGCAAGACAACAACTTTGCTGAGGACCTAATTTTGCCTTCTTTTATCGCTCACTGAAGCCACTGGGATTTTATAGTAGATGAGAAAGGAGAGTCATGCCCTAAAATGCTGACACTACTTCTATATATCATAGGGATATCTGAATAATTCATAGTGTCAAGCAGAGCAAGTTAAAGGAACAGTGTCATAAGTGACAACATCCAGCTTTAATACATCCCATACCAAAAAAATACCCTCCACAAATTTCTTTATTTGGCAAAAAATGAGATTGTTTTTTCCAAGTAAGATTTACAACAGTGTTGCATCACCCCACATTTTGTAACAAACACTGGGATTTCACTGTGATTGAGCATGTTACCCATTACGTTACCCTTGTGTGATACTTGAAATGAAATTGGGTCTAGATTAGACAATGGACAGCATATTCTTCCCCAGTGCTTATTCTAACACAGAAACGTTGCTGAAGTCACTGATTTGCTGTCACAGGTCTTCAGGGGTTACGTCTCGCTTTCCATTCCTGATAACTATCGACTTCCAAAACTTTTATTTCTGAAGCAAAGGTTAGAGATTAAGCTGTTTATGGAGCTGGTGCTGAAGCAAAGACTCCTTATTTCTGAGGACGGCTGAATCCAAGCCAGACCCATGTTTTTCCAAAGGCCCCTCACCTTTACAATGCACAAAATGACAGCTCTAGGATGCAAAGACCTCCAGGAAATTGTGCTTGAAATTCAGATAAGAACCATTCCAATCCACCTCTTCTTGTGCAAATAACAAATCCCCTATAATTTGCAGATTCCTGTACTACTGTAAGCTTTCTGTCCCTTGTTCAGGACCAATGACCCTCCTGGTGTCCAACACCTCGGGCCTCAGCAGGCTGGAGGTGCTGAGGGAAGGGAAGCCTTGCGAATGCCCACATCTTGCTCAGCGCGTGACGTGTGTCTGCAAACCCAAACCGAGCAGGAAGGACTAATTTTAAGCCTCCTAACTGGTGCTCCTCGCTGTCGATATGCCCAGTTGCTCGGGCAAATCAGTCTCCCCAGCCTGATCTGCGGTCGGCAGCCGCAGCAGGTCTTGGTGAGCAGGTGATTCTGCCTGGCTTTCTGTATTCTGCCCACGTCCACTGCCTGCTATAGGACAGGGATGCAGTTACAAACGGGGACGCTATTTGAATACAAATGGGAGGAAGAAAGCCACTCTCTCAGCACCGGAGCCAAGGGAAGCCCCAGGTGGCGGTGGGGTAATAGGATTGCGATTGCAAGGTTCAGCATGATGGCTGCTCCTGCCACTGCTGCTCTTCAGCATGGCACTGCATTTTATTAAATTTCCTGCGCGCTTGTCACTCGCATGATGCCGTTTGGCACAGCCTTCCCCGCTCTCGGCAGCTCACAACAATGCCAGTTTGGTTTGCATTTTTCCTCGAGCCAGCAGGTTGCTGCGCCTTTGTATTCGCCGCTCTTTTTCAGCTGGGCGGTTGTTTATCGAGGCAGGCTGGAGCGTTGGGCTTTGAACCGTGCTCTCGTGCAGGCTCACATCATTGCTCGGGTAATTTCTCCTTGCTGCAGAAGTAAAATTTGGAAAGTGAGGAATGACTTGCCTTAGGGCTCTAATCATTTTTAATGGCATGGAGATAATCTGCCAGAGTCAGGAACAATGACAGAGCAGCAAAGATCCCCGTGTCCATGTTCTTACTTTCAGTCTCTTCCCATCATTTCCAGATCAGACCAACTTGAGGCTTAGGAGGATTCAAATTTGGGGTCCAATTTGAGTTCCATTTTGCAGATGCTGCTTTAAGCCATGCTGTAAGTTAATTTTGAATGCAGGCAGAATTGATCGGTCATGCCTGCAAATTCAAACTTACTTGACATATTCCCTGCTTTGCCTTCGTTAGAAGTGGAAAATTTCCAAGAACTGACAACTCTGGAAACTGAAGTTCCAGGTGAACAGAGCATAGTACAGCACAAATCAAAGCAAATTTATTACATCCATGTGCTCCCTGTGGTTCAACCCCACATCCTTTAGGTCTGCCCTGTTACCAGGACCACCACCTGCATCACCTCTGAGGAGCAGCCCTACAGGTGACTCTGACCACCCCATTTAGTGCTTCCAGCTGGCTGCTGTGGACTTCTGCTCTCCTCCTCTCACTGATGTAACTGGCCTGCTGCTAAACTGAGCTAGCCGTAAACCAGTGGCTCAAGAGGAGAAAATGCTGTGGTGGTGGTGGTAAATGGTGCAGATCTGCTTTAGAGCTAACTCCACTGCAGGGTAGCAGAAAAGCATCCCCTGCAGCAGCCCTGGGGGTGGGGAGCAGGCAGCAGGGATCAGCGTCCCTCTCCTGCTCCACCTGGGCACGGCAGGGACCCTTTGAGCTCTTGGTGTGTGCTTATCCCTGCAGCCTGTCTGCAGACGGCTGCTCCAGGAACCACATCTTTGCAGTGTCTGACGCCACAGGAGATGCAGATCCCTCTCCTACCCCTCAGTATCTGAGCACACTGACGTCTTGCCCAGTTTGCTGTACAGAAGGGCTGCTGCTGCTGCCCTTGCACAGATAAGGGAGAGCAAAGAGTTCCTAGGCACGGCCCCGCTGTCCTTGGGAGGACGAGGGGAGGAAGCCTGCCTGAATTCACTGTTATCTGCATGGGCAACTGGAGCCTGCTCTGCCCTGGGGACCACAGAAGCAACAGCTGTGCAGATTTAAATAATAATTAATAATAATTATTAATTATAATAATACAATAAGCTCTCAGAGATATGTTCTGTTACACCTTGCCACCAACATCACCGGCGGCTCTTAGAGGAGATTCAAGCTCAGGTTTAACACCTGAGAGAGGGTCTCCGCTTACTGCCGGGGCGAGGTGGGCTGCCACCCCTTCCCCCTTCCCACACAACCGTGCCTTTGTTCTCCCAATTTACCTGACCCGATGGGCTGGAAAGGCCACAGGTCTGGGAGGAGACCCTGCCTTGGGTGAGCTGGGGCCTGCAGAGGGCCAGGCACAGCACCAGCCCTACCCGCGCCTCCCCACTGCTGGGTCGGGCAGGGCTCAGCACCACCAGAAAGACAGGGAAGGCAGAGGGGAAACCACGTGGGATATTTTGATGTGTTATTTCTTCAAGTAATGATTTATTGCTGTTTCTACCCCAGGAGCAGGCTGTTCCAGAGCTTGTAAATATGGCCTGGCTGCTGAGCGCTAGCTGGATCAGACTCACAATAAACTGAAGCCAAACCCGTAGTGCATTTGGCTGCTGGTGCTTCATTCTTCACATGTATCTTCTCGGAGGCAGATTACTTTGCAGTCCTTATGCTAATCAGATACATTAGCCAGGTAAGCCTGGCTTTTAATTTCACCAGGTGAGCTGATTTCTCTCTGGGGGTAAGTGGGAGCAGGCTTGGCTGCCGTGCACAGATTTTATACCTGTCAGTAATTCGGTGCTCCTGTCCCCCAGGTGCTGTAAAAGGTCACATGTAGTGGTTTTATTAGGACATAGTGCAGACAAGAAGCCCCTTTCCCATACAGAAGTGCACTAGGATGCAAAGAGATGCAGGAGCCAATGCAGGGGACATTTGTCCCCCCAGCATACCTGCCATGTGTCCCCGGGCAGGCTGCCCCAGCGCTTCTGGGGTGCAGGATGGTGCTGGTAGTATGGGACAGTTGGACCTTTACAAACTTCTTCCAGCACAGTGTTTTGGGCACACGGTCACCTCTGTTGGGCACTAATGCAAAAGGCACCTGCTGCTGGGGAACCGGGTGGCTCGAGGGACTGCGGTAATGAGCTACAAGCCCTTGTCTCTGGGTTACTGGTACAAACCCAGGCAAGACAGGCAGTGACGGGCAGTTTTACCTCTTGACAGCTGCTAAATAGCTGGTGTAAATTGGGTTGGTGGCCTCAGTCAGCTTTCTCATTAACCCATGTCCACGTCTCAACACCACAAAGAGAACCCAATTATCAGCCTCACCCGTGACAGTGATTTGATGGGTAAGGGGACAGATGAATTCGTCACCAGGATGGGCTAGAAGCATGGTCCAAGCCTGGAGTGAGGTGCAACGAGGGAGGAAAAAATTTTTATTTTATGCTAAACTGCCCTTTCCTTCAGTATCCCTGGGAGAAACAGAAGAGTTAAGCCTTTGGAGGTACCAGGCCTATACTTTTCAGCAGCTTCACACACTCATTGCTGTTCTTGCTCTTTATAGAAAGTAAAAAGACTGCAGGTCTCTTGCTTTCATCTTAGGAAAACTGTTCCTGCTCACCAAGACCTTACTGGACAAGGCAAGAAGTGGCAGATCTGTATGTAGGTAGCTGGCCAGTGGAAACACAGACCAAGGGGACTTTTTCGATGATAATCTGGTTACCCACAACATCATTAATGTGCTTTAGATACTAGGCTAATATTTTTATTAAAATAAACCCAGAGGTTGAAGCATCTCAGAACTGCAACTTTTATAGTTTTGCTTTTGACAATTGAAACACTGAAGGCCTGATACAGCAAGGAACAGGACCAAGGCTTCAGAACACTTCAACTATTCCTTTGCCTAAATAAGCGTGGGACTTGCTTTCAGTCACAGCTTTACCAGTCTTAAGTGAATCTTAAATTCATAGGTGAGGAAAAAGTGAAATTAGTTTGCAGCTGATAAATGAGCTCAAACCTTCATAATGAAGAACATTGTGCTAACTAATTACATCATGATTTAATACTAGAAGTATGATGAGAGGGCAAACGGGTGCTTCAGAGAGCTTAGCATTTCCCTTTCTCAGACCCAGCCTTATGATCCTGCATGGCTTTGGCTATGAACCCAACACACAGCAGTTACCGCACACAAAAAATGGGCAACTAGTGACAACTGGACAACTCATGAAATCTGTGTCCTATCTATGGTACATCATCAGCACGGTCAAGTGAGATCCAGCCCTCAGATCAGTCATCTTCTTTCACCTGCCTGTACAAGTAGTCAAACCTTGTTGAAGAGTTGCAGAGAAGTGTCTCCTTGGCAGCACATGTGGTGGATGGGTGATATTTGCTGCCTCTGAGATGAGCAAAAGCAGTCGAGGGGCAGACATCACATTTTGCATGCACCTGTACAGCTCGTGTCCAACGCAGGAATAGTGCAGAACTACAACAGACAGGCACACTGATGCTCAGTTTGCAAAGCAGGGGGTGCAACAAAATGCCAAAGGGCAGGCGGGCACGTGGTGCTGGCAACACAGGCCCTGTGCCACCCTTGTGCCTTGGTTTTGTCCTCATGCTCGCTGCGCCCAGGGCCAGTTATATTGAACAAAACCCTGACCTGCAACTGGGCACTAATGGCAAAGTTTCCAATTTGGGTTTCTTTGTTTTACACACTACTGAAGGTGTTATTTGGAGTCAAATTACCATTTTCCTGCAGCCTTGGCAACATGGTGGTTAGAGTGATAATAATACAATTATTACTGTATGAAAATGTGAAATCAGCCATGAATCTGATGAGGCTGTTATCAGTGTCTAAGCTGATTATGTTACAAAAACTGCACAGGTAGGGGTTGGTGTTTTCAAAGTAATGTATTGGGCATAATTTAAATTATCTTTTCTGTAGTCTTAAAATAAAGGCACAGTTTTTATAGCTACTTGGGTTATTTTCTTCTTTTTTTGTCTTCAGTAGTACATATAATAATCCCTAATAAATTCCTCATTTCATTCCTTACGAAAGACCTGTCCTGCTAATTGGGTGATCACACAAATTCTTCTTCAGTTATATTGAAACAACTGTAAAAACAATTTATTTGCAACTGCAATGATATTAAAATTAAACTCAGGCATGAGACCTGCTTCTTTCTGAAGGTCTCTGAATGTCCTTCGAGTTTATAAGTAATAAGTTCTCATGGGACACGTGAATTCATGCCCTTAATCCATTCTGACTTTAAAAGTCCAGCTTCTTTTATGGAATGTCTCATTATACAAGCTCTTGCTTCAGCAAATGCACTTCCATCAGTTTTCTCTGATGTCTGTTTAATATAACATCTTCTGAATTATTTAATGGGCAAACATATGGATTAAATAAAGCAAATACATCTACCAGAGCTTATACATGCCAGACAAACTTCTGACCAAAATTTTCCAAACTTTCTGCAGTTCACATTTCAAATCCCTGAGCTTGAAACCTTGTCAAGGTTAAATTAAAGCAGCTTCCAGGTTGCTCTGGTGAATCCTGTGGATTGGCCGGGTATGCCCAGAATTCACATTCACCACTTTGTTGCTCCCCACTATCTGCTCTGTGTTTTCCTTCTACAACCAAGGGTCTGAGCTTTTTTCTATGTTTTACACTATATTCACTTCTGTGCAATTCAGTTCTGGGTCATATTTCTGTGTTTTGGGTGTTATATAGCCCATAGCTGGTGTTTACCGATGTAGCTATAAGCCAGTCTAGAGTCTTCCTCTGATTAATTTGAATTTAATTCTGCATTTCATTTCTCCTGACCTTTGAAATCTCCCTCATGACTACTCATCAGAAAACCTTGATAAGATAAATTAGAAATTCTTTTAGATCTCAGATCAGATTGGAATAATAATTACCCCTCTTCCCAACTATCCATCAAGGCTTTGTTAGTTTACTTCCAGAAACTGTGCATAGTCAAAGTCATAAGAGTTATAGAAATTAAACCAGCAAAATTGGACAAGTGAATTCAAGTGTTTAGGTGTAGAAAAAGGTAGTGTATCCCCATCCTATTTCAGACTTTATAATCCATACATTCTGGCCACAGTTTTAAATTGTGTTCCCTTTCTGAACTGTTCTGATGCCGGGGTTTCTTTACATGCCTTGATTTGTCTTATTTGAAACTGAAGCTGTGAAGTAGACACATCAGCATCTGGCAAAGCTGAGAAACTGAAATTGTGTTTTATTATTTGTAGCAATTTAGGTGCAAACCAACCAAAATCAAATAAAAAACATTCCCAAAGTAATTGCTGTCTGAGCCAATTAGCAGATTTATTTGTTGGTGCTGAATGAAAAAAAAATATATCAAAATTTGACAAAGTATAAAATAAAGCTAG